CATTACAATTATGTACATGTACAAACATGTATACATTAGAAAAAGTCACTAGTATAATATTTGATAGTTACATACACAGTGATTAATTATAAAGTGTGAAATTAAAGGTTTAGCAGAACGCTTTTGTGCCCTTACCTATGGACAAACATACGACCAAGGGACAAACAAAACAATACGTGAGACAGAGAGGACAAGCGTGAGACAAGGCCTAAATGACGGTATTAATACACAAAATAATGGAATTTCAATTTATGAATATGATTCGAGAAAATGAGTTTTTAAATTTTAAGGCCACAAAAAAAAATGTTCTGCTTCCGGTTTCCACACCTTTTTATTCTGACAACCCCTACCCTAAGTTTTTTTTATTGGAAAAATAAGGAAAAAACACCCAGAACCATTCATTTCTACATTTTACCCTTAACTACATGCAGACGCCTCCGTATGATCGTACACAAAAAAATTTGCTACAAGAAAAAAAAATTCCCTACCTACGCCAAAAAAAAAATAGTTCTGCTTCCGGTTTCCATACCTACCTTATTCTGACAGCCCCTACCCTAATTTTTTTTTATAGGAAAAATGAGGAAAAAACACCCAAAACCATCAATTTCTACCTTTTACCCTTGACTTCACGCAGACGCCTCCATGTGATCGTTCACACAAAAAATTGGCCCCCCAAAAAAATGTCCCTACCTACCTACTCTATTTTCGAATGCCATGTAATCGGAAGCAGAACTATTTTTTTTTTGGCCTAAACACTGTATCAAAAGCCATTTTCTGCAGGTTTACCATGACACACGTTTAATAAAATACTGGTCGAGTGCTGTACAAATTTTGCAGCATTGATTTAAAACTGACCTGCTGAAGCCTGAAAGAAAGTGAACGTTTCCAAAGTTTTGATGTTTCTCAGATTTGTAACTGTAGTGTGTCCACACACATACAGACCTGTAAACTACAGTTTAACCCTAACCTCCCCAACTCCATCAAAATCCATCCCCCATTTTGGTGGATTTTGGGGGAATTGGTCCTGCAGGCCTAGTTTGAACAAATATTGATGGAGTATGATGGACTTGGGCCTGGAGGCCTAAAGCAAAGCATGCATTAGAAGCAGTGTGATTGACGGATATTGGCGGACTTGGTCCAGTACTTAGTAAAAAAGACATTAGGGAGTTAGGGTTAATTAAAGGGGAATACCCTCCACAAGCCTAAAATGAGGAGAGAAAAACAACAACAAAAAACAGTTTGCCATCAAGAGACACGGCTGGCTCATCCTTCATGCAAATACCGGTATATAAAACAAATTCGACATCACCATTCATTCTCTGTGAAATTCATCAGAGTTACAACTTCGCAGTGCGAAAACTTGATGTGATATTACAAATTCCGGTTAACATTGGCTTCCGAGCTAATTGTTGCACTGAATACCAGCCTTTAAGAGTCCTAAATAACTGAATATTCATCAGGGGCCTACATACATGTACGTATACTATGATTTCGCCCAGGGTACCCCGTAGCTTATGGTGGTTCCTCAATCCCCTAAACTGCACATTAGACGGTAGATCACATGTACATTGTACATGTATATTCTCGGGGAAAACAAATCAAAAACCAGAATACGATCAGTATGACAATCAACTATTCATACATTGTACACAGGAATTGTCCACAGAGAAAAATCTTCTGTCCTTTACATATATGCACCCTACACTTGTATCTGGGGGATTGAGATGTACATGTACACACTGAATGCCTAACTACAGTAGTACAATTAGGTTATGCAATATCCAGAGAAATTGCTGACTGTCATGACAGATCCCCATGGGAGGTCATTATTTTCCATGCATAATACATGCAGGGCTTCTGGGCGCCAGTCCAAGAATTCCCCCTGTATTACTCACAGGTATTTTCAACGACAAGGAGAGGGGAAAGAAGGTGCCGGAAACTGATACACCGTGCTCCATGGCAGTAGAGAGGAAGTGGTCTGGGTACGATAAAAAAAACCCTAGAATAGGGCAACTGCCAAGATGCTTGGCTTGGAGTGGGGGAAAAAATGGGTACCAGTTGATCTGATATCTTCAAACCTTGACAATGATGTCATATGGTGTCCATACATGTGCTTATCTATCAACCATGAAAAATTGCTACCAGTGAGAAGTACATGTACATGTACATACCGGTACATGTACATAAAATGTGTATCTTGAAATATCACACAAGTATTCTTAAAATCGAACCTTTACATACACATGTGCATTGTAGTTTCCTTGAAGTATCATCATCTGTGACAAAACGAGCACATGCACAACTTCTTTGAAACTTGTGGCTTACATACAAGCATGTGTACGGTGTGTAATTCAAAATACAATAAGCCATTTGCGATTTAAATTCGAATAAAATCTGGAACACTGACTTAATCCAATGCTTTGCACGTTTTATCCTGACCAACGAGACTGTTACTACCTGATTCGGGGCAAGCCTTATGCTAGCAACCCCCAGCTCCAGCATGGTCTGGTGTCTTTGTGCCATTCTCACCCATTGTGAACAATGTTTTGGTGCTGAGCGTCTCTTACGTAGCTATGCAAGAGCTTGCCCCGAATCATGTGATTAGCAACAGTGTCATTGGTCTGGAGAATTCAAAGTTAAAATGTGCCAAGCATTCTGAGCAAGTCAGTGTACCAGATGTTTTTTCAAAATCCCAAAGGGTATAGGTTACACGCAAATTGGCTTATTGGCAATTTGCTGCGAAATTCTACGTATTTCAAAAGGAAACAGTCACACTACTGTTTTAATGGCACAAATCTATGGATGATTCTCATAATTTTGAGGGCTTTAGTCCAGGATTTCAGTTAAATCCAAACTCAGTGCACGTCCTCTATTTCCGATGATGACTCAGAACTTTTTGGTGTAATGTAGCCATAGTGTTCCAGTTAAAGGTGGCAGGTCATTTACTGATTAATTTCCTATTTATTTTTACATTTGCTTAAATTACACGTCTCTGTATGCATGAGGAAAGTAAAAAATTAAAAAAAAGTGAAAAATGTGTCTGCTGGATTTCATCAAACGCTGAGGAAAATAAAATTAAATTTGACTGTAAGGCCAAAAAAAAAATATTCGGTCTCTGGTCAGACCAAAGTTCCGGAATTGACGCGGCTTTTTTTTTTTTTTGCTTTTTTTTTTTTCTTCAAGCTTGGATTGTACAGACAAGGTGGGTTACTATTTTGCTTTTTTGGTGTCCTCATGTACATTAGTGTCCTCCATAATTTGCCTTGGTGCTTTCGATCATTTGCCTTGGTGCTCTTTGGTAAAAAAAAATTGAGGAGGTGCGGAAATAGAGGGCGCTGTTGGAGCTACCGCGGAACATTTTGGAGAAAAAAAAAGATCGACGCACATGATTAAAATCGACGCGCGCGCTGACCAGAGACCGACTTATTTTTGGGGGGGGCCTAATTTGCATTTTTTGTCACCTCTTTCTCTGTTTCCCATTTGGAACACATTTCATCCTATTCCTGGCAACGGGGTTTAGCCAGAGGGCACACATATGACACATGTACAATGCATGTTCAGCAGTTCATCGTCTTTCAATCAAATCATACGTGACTGAATAACCATTGGAAAAGAGGGCGGGGAAATCAACACTTGGATGCATAGCGTGATATGTATCTGTGTCGTGTTCGCGTGTAGAGGACAGCAGGTTACACACGTGTACATAAGACCACACAAACTTATGATCTATCCGGGGTGCTTCAACTTAAACTGTACCCGTTCCCAAAAACCTCTGTATGATCACACCCTGTACTACTCTACGTGTATTTTATCTAACAACTGAGCGAAGTGAGCTGTTACAATACCGCACTGTATGTTCTAGATGCACATATATGCGAATGCATCCTTGTTGCACTTAAAGGGCATACATCATTTGCTTTTGCTGTAATTTTCAGAAATGGATGGAATTGGGGGGTTGAAAATATATAGCAAATATAGTTACACTGACTTTGTTGAGGTTTTGGGTTCGAAAATGCTATAAAAACCAAGAAAAACAATCATTTTCCTGTAGTCTGGTTCCCTGACTCCATTGAGGTGTGTAATCGGTGTGTAATCGATTCGTGTGTAATCGATTGCAAACAAGTGCGATGGACAACTGGGGCCAGTATTTGAAGAAAAAAAGCCAGTTTTTTCCAACGCTGGTCGGCCGATCAGCGTTGGAAATTGATACAAAAATACAAGTTTTCTTGAAAATGACAGTATACCAGGTGCCATGATTTTACAGGATGCTTTACACTGTCATTCAGTAAAAGTCCAGCAAGGTATTTCAAAATGATTTGGTAGTTTTATTTTTTGATGTTTGCAAATGTTGTATTTTCCCTTTAACATGTACATTGTATGTCAGATATTGGTCTAGGATTGTTATGGTTTGATACGCGATAACCAGCCGCCGCGAGAGGGCATTATCATGACCACCCAATATCACCCACAACCTGTCAGGAACAACATCTAGGGACAATTGTAAAATCTCCCCCTGAAAAATGGGGGAAACTTGTACACATGCGCTACTTCTGCAGACGATTACAGTCCATTTTCATTCCCACGTACACTACACACCACAAAAGAGCTGACCAGTAAAGTTGCTACATCTTCTATACTACTGGAAGAAATTTAAGAGTTTGGTTCGGAAAGTCTTCAATGAAATGTTTTGAAAGCGCGCTGCATATATTAGGACAGAGAGGTGCACACGCATTACACACTCGATACAAATTTCCCTAGACGTTGTTTCTGAAAGGTTCGTGGGTGATATTGGTTGGTCATGATAACGCCCTCTAGCGGCAGCGGGTTATCGCGTATCAAACCATAACGTCATCTAGCCCCTAGACTAGTCAGATACATGCATCAATCATAGTTGTGATTGTTCAAAACATCTTGCGGTAGGCCTTCATGGACTGGTTCAATATACATGTATGAGTTCAATGCCAAATTTTCTCATCAAAAGAACACCGTTGCAACCGTACCTTTGTTTTGTCTGAGGTCTTGGCCTTCTCCACGCCATCTTTCTTGTTCTTCTTGGCTTGGTTTGGCTTTTTACTGAAAAAGATCAAACACAAGGTTTGTGTAGTTAATGAACAAACAGAAGATATTCATTTACTCCGAGTTCCTCGGGGAATGCTGCTTGGAGAACTGTTCTTCGTCATGTAGGGGTTTGGTTTTAAACCTAACCCCTAGGCCCTTTTTGCTAGGAACCATCATCAATCCTCCAAAATCCTCCAAAATTTGGCACCTATGCTCGAATGACGGATTCCCCACTGCCTCAATCCTTCAAACTCGTCAGACAGTCTTGCCTCTCAAAATGCATTCATCCTGAATCGCCCAATATCCTCATGTGCTTCAACACCATTCATCCTCAATTCTCCCAAATCCTCATGTTTCTCAAACACCATTCATCCTCAATCCTCCAAAATCCTCCAAACAGCCATGATCAGTTTGGAGGATTGAGGAGGGTTAGGGTTAATTAAAGTACTGATTTTTTTTTGGGGGGGGGAAGGGGAAGTGGCAAAGTGAATAATCAGAGAGGACATCCCAGACTTCCTTTTTGTTTCTAAATGAACAAACCAGAATCAATTCTTTTCCTTGAACCTGGCAGTATGATTAAAAAAAAAAAAACGTCGGTAACAAATACACCACCGGCAGCATTAGATTTCTTTTAATCCGATAAAAGACTCTCTATCGATGCCGTTTTCTTTCCTCAGAAAAGTGATTGAGGCCCATAGCGGGACAGGGTAACACAAACACACAGAGGCTGTCCACACTGTGAGCCCAAATTACGTTTCTGGTTGGAATTTCATCTCACTCCGCTGTGGTTCCCAGGATTGGGATGGTTGATTCAAAGATCCTCTCTGCAACCTCATCCCTATGGAGATAGCAGTACGCTACCACCAGCTGACCTCTCCCCCTGGTACAATACATATAAGATCAGGGATAGTCTGGTGCCTTGACAATATGTACCAGTCAATTGTAAGACAGACCCCCTCCCCCCTCCCGTTACTGCCGGCATGTACGTCAAGAGTAGTGCTGGGCGAGTTTAATACTCAAGTACTCGTGAGTAGTGTTTACTACTCATTCTACTCATGGTTTTTTATCTACTCGAGATCTAGTCCTGCACCCGATTTCACCAAACTCTTTGCAACTTACGATGCATTGCAGCGCTGCGATGTGTTGTATCCCTACGATGCGTCGCAGCTGCGACGCGTCCTGCGATCCATTTCACAAAACACGTCGTAAGTGCGACGCGTCGTGTGTGTATTTATAGCACAACTCGGTGACTGTTTTATGTCTTGAGTCAGCGTACAGTAAATAGTCGTCTGATATTCAACAAAGAGTCGTCGGATCTCAGCTCGAAATTTGTTAAAACGTGAAACAAAATGGGGGTCGTGCGACGCAATTTTGAAGGAAAACAAGCTCTCAGTGGACTGTATAGCTCCTTTGAAATTTCAACTGCTATATTCCAGTCTAATTCATAATTATTCCATGAATTTTCTATTTACAACTTTACACACATTGCCTCGGTATTATAATCTCGTTTATGTAATGTTTATGGGATTAAACTGGCTAAGAAGGGGACTCTTTTTATTTTGCGATGACCACCAGACACGTCGTAACTTGCGACGTGTTTTAAGCCGTTGTCAAGGAACTTACTACGCATTCAACACATCGCAACTTTTGTGAAATGGATGATACGACGCGTCGCGATTTACGACGTGCTACACGTCGCAACTCGAGTTGCAACGCGTCGCAGCGCTTCGTGAAATCGGGTGCTGGCGCGAGTAGAAGTACCAGTAGGTACCCGCAAGAAGCAATTTTTTTTTTACAAGTGTGATGTGGTGTCAATAGCAATGCCAAGTTCCAGAGTTGCATAGAACACTCCACACACGCGATTATATGGGTACCCATTGCCGACCATGTCGTGCGTGCAGGACTCGGAGTACCGGGCGTGACCTCAGAAAATCAAAAGGGAAAGAGTTCCAGTAGCGCTGGCGATACTGATTTTTTTGTAGCCGATTTTTTTTTGCCCGCAATATCGGCGATATGGCGATAAATCGTCAACAAATTTAAAAAATTACATTTAAATAGCGATCTTCACAATTCTCCAAATATAAACGCTTCGACGTTCTAAAACATTTCAGAGTAATAGATCAACCAGCTCAACTTTTTGGGTGGATTTGTGTTTCAGAAAGTGGCATTTCACACAAAGGTATTTCGTCTATCAAAGGGCATTTCCAAAAGCCATAGAGTGCTGACCCCCGAAAATTCACCATGCTAGAAGGCTGACGGAGAGAAGCCTTCTAATTCTAAAACTGAAAGTATATCTCCATCACCTAAGGTAAACTTTTTAACCAATGTCACTTGCTTTCATAGAGTAGCTGAGCCGAAATCAGCCTGAATGATGTTTGCTATGCTATCCATCCGGAACTAGTCCGAGTAACTTGGACCAACTTATCGCCTTTTTAACATTCTGACATGGTCTGGCGATAGGGTCCAAGCTAATCCGTACATGCCGAGCAACACAATTTTGACCTTGACCTGAAAACCCAACATTGCCCAACAAAACATCAGATTTCACCCTCAAAATGGCCTACAAATTACTAGATACGCCACCTGAGGTACAAGTAGACATCGATGATTTACATGTAGATGGTTGTACTGCAGTTTACTTACGATCCGGATGAAAAGTGAAATTTCCCGTTCCATTCCGAGAGCTCCCCTCGCAATCGTGAACATGTTAAATTTCTGACTCGTGTTGTTAATGTTTGAATGATGCGATGTGGTCTTCATTCCCAGCGTACATTCGATGGTCCCTGTATCCCGAGTGAAATCTGATGGTTTTTGTTGGGCAATGTTGGGTGTTGGGGTCAAGGACAAATTTGTGTTGCTCGGCATATATATACGGATTAGCTTGGACCCTATTGTCAGACCATGTCCGAATGTTAAAAAGACGATAAGTTGGTCCAATTTTCTCAGACTAATCCAGAACTAGGAAAACGACTGTAGGCCTAGGCCTAGGCCTAGTCCAAATGTGGTCCTACTAAACTGAGTCAACAAGCGTCAACAAGCGTCAACAAGCGTCAACGGTCGTCAACAAGCATCAACATCACAAGACATTTTGTATGGTAGAAATAGTGACGAAGGACACATTCAGCGTATAAAATAAAGACTTAAAAGTATTTAAAAACTTGGTTTTTTTTAAGTAGCCTACATGATGAGTTTGTCGAGTCGATGTACGACGAGTTTGTCGTGTTTGGGGTGGCCGCCACTTTGTTTATGTGAAGCTGGGCCGTACTACGCATGCATGAAGTGTACAGAGCCACACTACGCATGCACGCAGTGTACAGCGCCATCCAAACAAGATGGCGGCCAACACTAATCGACAAACTCGTTGTACATTTCGCGTTCATAAACCAAGTTTTTAAATAATTTTAAGTTTAATTAATATGCAGATGTTCTTCATTGCTTTTTCTACCATATAAGATACTTTTAATGTTCAAAAGCATATACAAAATTTGTTGACACTTGTTGACGGTTGTTGAGGGTTGTTGACGCAGTTTAGTAGGACCCTCCAAATGTGAAAATCACAATTTGACAAAGTTCTACACTTTCGGGTGCATGTTCCAAGTATGGCCTTTATTTACGGAGGTACAGGTAGTCCAGTAAATTGGCCACATTTATGGGGCTAGGCTAGCCCTACTTTTTAGACATGCTAGAGTAGTAGTAAGCTGGAAATTTTAAGCTAATAAATTCTGTAACTTTGTAAAAAGACAAATTAAAATTTCAAAACTGAGCGGAAGAAAAAAGGGTAATCCGTATCTTTAGGACACCTCTATTTTTACGAGTTCTGTTCAAAACTGACTTTTGCAGATGACTGTCCAGTACCAAAGTGACTTTTGCAGGCTAAAGCAGTTTTTTTCTTCAGATATACTCATGTTATTGTTAGTTGTAATTTTGAAAGCACTTTCAAAGAAAATGTGACTTTCCTACCTTTTTTTTGCAGTTCCCCTTCTTGCTTTTAAATATATTTTCTGTTTGTCATCGTCTTCTTTAACCCCTCATAAATCGGTGATATCCCTGCCCTCTTTTTACCAAATTAAACCTGCTGATATTCAAGAAGGTGTCATTGCCAACTGTTTAAATGTGTCAAGAAATATCAGAATGTCACTTTTGAGTATCATTTAGTCAGCTGTTTTGGTGAGTCTTTTAGTTTTAACCTTATATTATACGCAGTGGCTATCGTTACGGCAGCCGTAACGCATTTCCCATTTTCTATTGTTACGGTATAGGCCCTACTGCAACTTTTATAAAAACATGAGAAGAAAATATAAAATTAGAAGGAAAAAAGTGAATTTGAACGTTATGAAATTCGGACTTTATTTCCCTTTTAAAAAAAATCCTCCAAAGCCTCAGGTTAGAAAAGGAAAAAAAATTCGAGTGCAAAACTGAGATGTGAACCCGCAACCTCGCGGTGCAAAATCCTACCTTCTATCGACTGAGCTGTCGCACTGCTCGCTAAACCATGGGGAAACAAATAATTAAATACCTGCGTGCGTATCAAAAAAGTATCGTAGAGGGCGCTAAACAACGGCTGCCGTAACGATAGTCGATAGCCACTTCGTATATCATAAATGTAGGACTAGGAGGGTGTCGGACGCTTCGCCCCATTTCCACGTCGCCCCATGTCACTTCGCCCCTAACCACTTCGCCCCATCCCCACTTCGCCCCATCCCCACTTCGCCCCATCCCCGCTTCGCCCCATCCCCACTTCGCCCCATACCCACTTCACCACATGTAGATTGGTTCCTCCAAGAGTGAAATTAGGATGTCAATGGTATTGTTCTCAGATAAGTGGGAGACGGGTTGGTATAGCCGGGTTTAGTTGGATCTTTTACTTCAAGCTTTTTTTCTCGGTAGGGGACACTGATAGCTTGAGAGGTTGGTTATGAATTGTTCATTTGGTGATGGGCTAATTCTTTCCGTTGGTTAGCAATTAGTGAATCTGTTGTAATTGTTTTTAAGCCAATAAAATAGATGAGATTTTTTTTATATGTAACGGCTGGGGCTGTGGGGATGGGGCGAAGTGGGGATGGGGCGAAGTAGGGATGGGGCGAAGTGATTAGGGGCGAAGTGACATGGGGCGACGTGGAAATGGGGCGAAGTGTCCGACATTCAACTAGGAGTAGGAACGGGGTCCTAAAGGTAAGGATAACCAAAACCTTACCGAAATTTGCCCATCAGTAAAGACCCATACGAACGTGTAGAAATTAGATTTTAACCTGACCCTGACAAATAACCCAGGACGCGTCTGAGTCGAGTCGCTTGGACAGATTGACCGCTGTTTCATGTCGCAACCCCGAAAAAAAAAACCGCAGACGATTGGCTGCTCGGCTCATCTTGTGTACAGTACATGTGTGCACACACGTGCGCGGGCGCACGTGCGACCGCATGCGGTGCGGTGAGAGAGGAAAGGACTTGAAACTTGTCTAAAACGATGTCTGTTTTAGCTGCGACAGTAAACAGCCGTCGAATCATACGAAAATAAAACGCAATGCGCATGCGTCAGTTGGGAGAAAATGGCAGCTAGCAGTAGCGGACGGACTTCATGAACCGGCAACCGGGGCCAGAATTTTCCTCAATTTTCGTCAAATGCAAGTTTTGACGTACAAATAGAATTCAAGACAGCTTCATATGCGAGTACTTATTACATGGGCAAAATAACGTCCAGTGTGTGTAACGGAGGGAGTCTGAGGGACACGTTCGCCAGGTTCGAAAATAGACAACAGCGTGGCGTAGTTTACAAGCCACGTTCACAGGTCTACCAAAAAATGTGAGTCTCTTGTACGATAGGAACGGGGTCCTAATAAAATAATGATTACTGGAAAACAGTTTAAAGCAAAATTTTAAAATGTCACCAATAGCCCTCTTACTCTTTAGGCTCTTCCTGTTGTGCGAACAACTGATGAAAAACTAAACCTGCCGATTCACGCCCATGCAAAAACTCCTGCACACGACCTCCCTGCTCAAAAACAACAGCCATGTTTACCCCTTCCCTGCCAAAATTACACTCTTTTGGAGGAGAAGGGGGTCAGGTATAATTCCTCAGAGCTCGTTCTTTTAAGTGGGTTTGTTTGCAAAGGAATGACTGGAAGCTAGGTTAGAAAATTCAGTATTTTTCTGCTTCACGTTATATCACTGCGACTTTTCCTCAGCTTACTGTCGCCATGTTGGATTGCAATTTGACAATGCACTGTGGGTAAATGTTAATGACCGACAGAGGGCGGGCGATTTAAACATCAGGGGTTGCAGACCGGCCGCGCCGGTGTGACAGGTAATTCTGTCCCCCCTGGTAAATGTGTCCCCCCGGACACATTTACCGGATCGTGGCCCGGTAAATGTGTCCGGGGGACACTTTTACCTAGGTAAATTTGTCCCCCTCCAGGTAAAAGTGTCCCCCTGCCCAACGGTGAAAGTGTCCCCCTGGTAAATGTGTCCCCATACAGTATGTAATGGCTGGAGCAGCAGCGTGTCGCACGCGCCAGTGCATGCTGCAAGATTTGAGGCAGTGATTATCACATGTGTACATATGCGTCTCCCTCTACAATGGAAATTCGTCCAATAGGAAATTTCGTTACGCGCTATGATGGGAACACAGACCAATCCAAGTAGACGTTGTATCATACTATCAATGAGACGAGGGCCATCGCCATGCATCGCCGCTGTGTTGAACTATCGCGGTAGAATCGCGATAGACTCTTAATCAACGTATTCCGAATCGAAACATTGTGTTCACGTATCATCTAATAGACTGAATTAAATATTTTTATATTCATGAAGTCCAAAATGTATACCTTGTAGAGTGAATTCATCAAAACAATAAACCACAAATAATAATAATAATAATAATAACCTTCCGGGTTTTAAAAGAGGGGGACAGAATTACCTGAGGGGGACAGAATTACCTGGCGGGGGACAGAATTAACGGGCCTGGGAGGACACTTTTACCTAGGTAATTCTGTCCCCCCGGACACTTTTACCGGGGGACAGAATTACCTGCCACACCTGTGCCGGTGTGGCAGGAAATTGGCCCACGTGAAAACAATCAATAGACAAATTGAATGAAAGTCATTACATTGAGGTTTTTGTGAACCCCACGAATTATACCTTTCAAACAGACGTTATGATAATAATTGTTTGCGTAATGTGATGTTCATACAGATCACGCCGCAGATAATATTACTCGACACACGTCAGAAGACAACGAATTAAGTGAGATATATCACACCTGTTTTCATTGGATTATTCTCCATTTCTCTTGAATTTTGTTTGATATGTATTAACGGCAGCGATTTAGTCGGTAGACTATGGAACCTTAAACAGACCATCCGCAAAAGATGACTTTTTTGTGACGTCTTTCTTATAGATTCCTCACCATGGAAAGACGTCTTTCCCTGATACTGGTATAGTATCAGGTACAATCGTCTACCCGAGATACGAGTATAAGGGAAATATGTCTTAAATATCCAGTATTTCAGCTTTCCAAAATCAAGGAAATGCGGAAGATAGAATGGTCACTTTAGGCTTCCGTATAGACAGATAGGCGTACAATGTTTCGCGCGAAATTAAAAAGCGCGGAAGAAACAGGACTAGGTCCGGATCCCCTTTTTTTCCCGAGCGATTTTGATTCCGTTGCAACTTTTGTCCCTTGCTGAAATCAGTTCAACTCACCATAAAGAATCCTTGAAATTATTGTGTTCATGTCCCTACAATAAGCATCTTTCTTTCGTTCATCTTTGCTGCGCCACGGAGCTATGTCCCCATTTACTTGCATCCCCTCATCCCCATTCATCCGCTGACTACCAACGCTGTGATTCTATAGTTAAATGGGACCAAAAATAATAATTGGGATGGTAAAGTTCCAAGCTTTATTCTCAAATTGCCTTTGAGTGCAGGAGGAATCATCGTGGATTTCAAAATGTTCCCTGGGCATCCGTCGGACCCACAATCAAGCAGGACGTGTCCTCGACACGCCAAGTTCACTTAACCCTCCACCTCCGTGTATTCCCCATTTTCTCTAAGCCAGACCCGTACCCGCACCTGAAGCAAACAAAATACTCAACAATTTAAGTTTTGAAAAATACAAAGGGATATTCCCACCAAATAGCGTCCTGCATGATCCTGCTAAATACAATGTAGTCTATTGCTATCAACCATCGCCACATTCAGGACTTAGTGAGGCATCAGTTGAGTATTTATGTTTGTAATGTAAACTGGGTGTAGCATGGGGGACATAGCTCGGCGGTAGAGCGTTCGACCGCAGATCGAAAGGTCCCTGGTTCGAATCCAGGTGTCCGTTTACATTTTAGTTTTGTTCCGAGATGTGCCAGACAACCCATGACAATATACTCAGGGAGGTATAAAGCAAGATCAATTCAAAGGTGGGACTTGGGGAGAACATTTGCCGACAGACCTTCGTTGGCGGAAATCAGATTTTTTTTGGTCACCATGGTGGTCGTGAGATAAACAGAAAGGTGGGATGGGGTAGTAGACGTGAAACACCATCGTTCAAGGCAGGTTGCGAGGTTTGTGCTTGTCTCTGGTGCGACTTCGCGTCCGGCACGGGGTAGCGATACCCCTTCACTCAATCGCGGCAGTAAGAGTCTCAGCCGGCTAACGAACCACTAAATCAAAACACAGAACCAGCGCTCAACACACGGGCATCACTAGAGAAGGTGTGGCGTTTCACCCCTTACCCCCCCCCCCCAAATATTTTGTGTGTGACAAAACCGTCTAGTTCTTGACTACTTTCATCACGGAGGGTGTGGCGGCAAATTTGTTGTCATGTCCGTAGATTAAGCAACGAATGCCATATTGAAGTTGCTGTTTTTTTTGCTTTGACACTGCCGCGAGATGCAAGCCAGAGTGCTAGGAATCCCGGAGATCATACGGTAGGGAGTCCACTGACTGTTTGGACCATGTAGGCTATCTGCAACCAAGTTAAATTAGTCAGTTTCAAACAGTGATATTTAGTAGCCTACATCAGCATGGCACTGCAAAATAAAACAAGTGTCCTGTCAGACCTAAAGAGGAATATTGACTCCTTTATTATTCAAGAAATTAATGAAGTGACTCGCTATAGTATTAGGTACAATCGTCTACCCGAGATACGAGTATAAGGGAAAGATGTCTTAAATGTCCAGTATTTCATCGTTCCGAAATCAAGGAAATGCGGGAAATCGGATGGTCGCTAGGCTTCCGTATAGACAGATAGGCGTACAATGTTTCGCGCGAAATTAAAAAGCGCGGGAAACAGAACTAGGTCCGGACCCCCTTTATTCCGAGCGATTTTGTTTCCGTTGCAACTTTTGTCCCTTGCTTAAATCAGTTCAACTCACCATGAAGAATCCTTGAAATTATTTTGTTCATGTCCCTACAATAAGCATCTTTCTTTCGTTCATCTTTGCTGCGTCACTGAGCTATGTCCCCATTTACTTGCATCCCCTCCTCCCTGTTCAGCCGCTGACTACTACAGTTTTTCTTGAAAGACAGCACACCAGGAGCCACGGTTTTAAAGGATGCTTTAGACTGTCATTCCCTAACTATTCAGTAAGGTATTACGTGATAATTTGATCATTCCGTTCTTTGATGTTTGCAAATGTTGTATCTTCCCTTTAACGAACCACTAAATCAAAACACAGAACAATTAAGCGCTCAACACACGGGCATCACTAGAGCAGGTGTGGCGTTTCACCCCTCACCCCCCCCCCCCCGAAATATTTTGTGTGTGACAAAACCGTCTAGTTACTGACTACTTTCATCACGGAGGGTGTGGCGGCAAATTTGTTGTCATGTCCGTAGATTAAGCAACGAATGCCATGTTGAAGTTGCTGTTTTTTGCTTTGACACTGCCGCGAGAGGCAAGCCAGAGTGCTAGGAATCCCGGAGATCATACGGTAGGGAGTCCACTGACTGTTTGGACCATGTAGGCTATCTGCAACCAAGTTAAATAAGTCAATTTCAAACAGTGATATTTAGTAGCCTACATCAGCATGGCTCTGCAAAATAAAAAATAAAAAGTGTCCTGTCAGACCTAAAGAGGAATATTGACTTCTGTATTATTCAAGAAATTAATGAAGTGACTGGCATTCATTATTTTGGATGGAACCAACGGTGTTTTTTTTTTAAATATTTTGCAGACCTTGCTAATCGACTCACATAGACCCCAATGGCAATTACGCGTATTTCCAAAAATTATTAAAAATACTCACGACTCTCCAAGGTGTTTGACACACACATCAAATTAAAGTTGTTTTTTTTTCATCTTCTTTTATTATCTGTTCCTTTTTTGGGGTTAACTGATAACAGTTTGGAAGAATTCTATCCAAAGATGATAAACCCTCAAGCAGTCCTGAAGCCCATCGCCATTTTGAATATGGACGCCTACGCTCCATTGCAAAAAAGAGCCATTTGGGGCAAAATTTTATCCAAATTTCACAGAAATACGAGCTCGCAGTCCTCTGCACGGCTTCCACCCTTCATTTTTTTTTTATAAATCCTCAAGATCACGGCACTCAAAATGTTCTCTAATACCTGAGAATCTGAGGGCATACAAATTGTGATTTGGCCCGCGTAGGCAATTCTGGGCCTATTTACAGATCTGCACCCATATGACCTATTGAACTGAATAAGAATTACAGATAACACACAGGTATTCAAATCCATAAATAAGATTCTTATTGTATTGAGTCGAGTCTGAAAATTACTTTTACTGTCAGATTTTGTGTTTTGAATATGACGAACAAATACAAGTCAACTCCTGAAATATTGAGGCCATTTTTTCTTTGTAAGTTTTCGTTCATAGAGGTGGGGAACGTCCGTGTGTCATTGTATTTAATGGGTATTCATCAGTTCGTAGAACGGTAAATGATCAGCGGTGGACAACTGAATTGTGTGATCTTTTTTATTGAAAATAGACATAACTATGTTCATAAAGTTGTTCTTAAAAACTTGCAACAACATTCTACACAATATACCATGTAGGCCTACTTTCATGCGGGGGGGGGGGTAAACAGTTGTTAGTGGAGAGTCACAGATCGGGGGAGTCACATCTTCCCTCGGCAAGGAAGTCCGGCCCACGTGAAAACAATCAATAGACAAATTGAATGAAAGTCATTACATTGAAGTTTTGACGAACCCCACAACACCTTTCAAATAGACGTTATAATAATAATT